TTATATTTATATACAATTATTATTATATTTATATATATGTGTGTGTGTGTATTTTTGTATGTATGTAAGTATATGTATGAATATATATATATATATATATACCTTGCGGGATCCTACACCAAGACAACTCTTTCTAGCCATATTATTAGAACTTAATTCTTCTTTAATTCTAGGTTTTTTTTCTTTGTTTTAACTCGCTTGTAGACTCGCAAAGGCGCACCTCACCTTTTGTGGGCTACTGTTGGCCATTCCACAGCAGACACCGCCGCAACACGTCCGCAACTGTGTGACTGACACCCTGGAGGCGTATGCAATGGTACGGAGCAACTACCCATGCACATATATACATATATACAAATATATATATGTGTGTGTGAGAGAGAGTGTGTGTGTGTGTGTGTGTATGTGTGTGTGTGTTTGTGTGTGTGTGTGTTTGTGTGTACATGTATATATATATATATATTATTTGTATTCATATTTATATTTATATGTGTGTATATATATATGTATGTGTGTGTGTGTACCCAGAAATGGACCCCACGATTAGGGGTGGTCTGTGTCACGAACGAATCTACACAAATATTCGCTGGTAGGAGCGGCAGCATAAAAATAGCAATACAAGATGTGGTGTTCACGCCATCCTTCATGTATCTGCCATAGGTGAATCTAAAAATAGAACAGCTGATGCACTCCAACATCGACATGGACGCCCACAGTGGGGAGGTGCTGCGTGCTTTCGGACTGGGTGCGTCCGTACTGAGTGAAGTGGTGACAGCCTTCACGGAAGTAGATCCATCTATAAATAGAACAGATGAGAGTGACGTCCCTAACCGTGTACCAGGGCGCAGTGGGGAAGGGCGTGATCAGGACATGTCTGTGGATGGCAAAACGTTTGATATTAAGACTGAGAGAGACGGAGAGACGTCTATGGACATTGATTCCGGTAAGTTAGAGACCAGAGGGTCGGCTTGGACATGGATGCGAGGCTTTTTGGTTTCGACTTAAAGGCGGACGTGTGTATATGGGTCAAACATAAGAGCAGAATCCATATATATGTACATGTATGTAAGTGTGTATGTATGTATGTATGTATGATATAAATATATATATATATATATGTGTGTGTGTGTGTGTGTGTGTGTGTGTGTGTGTGTGTATNTCTATATATATGTATATATATATACTATATATTATATATA